ACACACACACACACACACACACACACACAGACCCAACCCCAGGGCATCTTTAGCTCAAGGGTTGCCATCCAAAATGTCCCGCAAAACTTGGGCTTTGTAGACACCGACAGAATCATGAGGGCTCCACCATACCGATGAGGTCACCCCAGAGCCCACAGCCCACGCTCTCAGGGGGTGGGGCACAGCAGGGGGCTGTAGGGCCTGTGCCTCTGCAGGGTGTGTCCTATCCCTGGCCCCTTCCTCTCCGGCTCTGTCCCCCTCTCTCTGCTCCCTGGCTGCCATCACCCGGCCACATCCTTCCCTGCTGTTTCCGCCTAGGAGCCAGCCAACCACGGACTGAACCCTCTGAAACCATGAGCCAAGCAAACCATTCCTCCTTCAGCTGTTTGGTCCCAACAATGCAAAGGTGAATACACAGATGCTCCCCGAAACCAGGTCCTGGAATGTTCACAGCAGCAGTCTCCACAGAGCCTCAGCTGACAGCCACCCAGGCGTCCACCACAGTGGAACGAATAAACCGTCAGGTACTCACAAACGGGAAGCCAAACAGCAGTGAAGGTAACCCGCAGAGTCACCTCACAAACCTGACGATGCCCCTCAGGAGCGCAAAGCTGGGTGAAAGAAGCTAAAACCAAAAGCGGACTTCCTTCTGGTCTGACTGCAGTGGCACCAAGTCAGAAAATGGGCAAAACTCACCCACGTGTAAGGTGAGCACAGCATTTTGGGGCTGGATGGGGTGCTGGTTACCCCAATGTGTCCTACAGGGCCATACACGTCCATACGTGCACCTACCTATACGTATGTCACGCTTCAACAAAATGAGGTTTAATAAGCATAATATTATCAAATAAAAAAAACTGGTTTTTTGGGGGGGGCTATAGGAGATCAAACTCATGACCTCGTGTTTGCCTGGCAGGCACTTGTGCCACTGAGCTAAACTCCAGGCTTCTTCTGTTCCTTTTTAAAATTTTCTTCTTGTTTGTTTGTTTTTGAGACCTGGTCTCACTTTGTAGTTCAGGCTGAGCTCACAATGTAGCCCAGGTGCTACATTGAACTTCTGGTAATTCTTGAACTTCTGGTAATTCTCCTGCCTCAGCCTCCTGAACGCTAGGATAATAGGTGTGCACCGCCGTGTCCCCCAGAGCTCCCGATTTATGTCGCTCATTGCCTCTGTTACCCAGCAGCCTTGAGGTGTCACTGCCCCGGCACCGGATTGTGCCAGGCAGATCAGCACCAATCACTTGGGGGGGGGGTGGAGTCCGGGGAGGAGGACCCCAGACTGGTGGGGACAAGAGGGGACACCTGCCCAGAAACAAGGCTGCAACAGAAAGCAAGGGGGGCAAGGACGGGGCAATGACAGACCTCCTGGAGTCACTCTGGGGCATCCAGACTTGCTACATAAGCCAATGAATCCTGTTCGGTCAGCTTCAGCCAGCCTGGGCGACATTTGTCACTCCTGTCATGTATGACAAATGTGCCTATCACCGCCTCAGAAGCCTGAGCAGACTGGGAGAGGAAAGCGGGCATTGTCATTCCCAGCCTCGCTGCGGCCACCAGCGTCCCCGGCCACGCCAGGGCTCACCTGACTCTCTGGAGCATTCATTATTTATCAGACACCTGATCGTCACAGAAATGAGCAAGAGATGTGTGGCAGGCTTACTGTCCCTGCTGTCCCTGCCGTCCGAGCCCATTCTGGGAAAGAGACAAAAAACGAGCCTCCAGGGAAGAACAGGCAGCCTGGACAGACCCAGAGCACAACAAAACCACAAAAGCCTCAAAAAGGAGCTCAGAAGGGCCAGGCAGGCAAGGCGACCAAGGAAAGTGGTACGCCAGGCACAGTGGCACACACTGTAATCCCGCCTACCCTGGAGGCTGAAGCAGGAGAATCCCAAGTTCAAGGCCAGCCTGGACAACTTAGCAACAGTTGACTCAAAATAAAATAAAAAAGGCTGGAGACCTGGCCCAACACTCCCTTGGGTTCAATCTTCAGTGCAAGAAAAAGAAAAGGAGAAGAAAGGGAAGGAGAAAGGGAGTAAGGAAGAGCGCAGCGTTGCCTGCCACCAGATCTGAGACCCCGGCCTTAATGCTCTCTGGTAAACGACTCTCACTCCTTTGACATTCAGCCACCATAACAAATAACACCGAGTCATTTCCTGAGCACTCCTCGTTTGGCACAATGCTAAGCATACACTCGCTCATTTCTTACACTATAACCCTTCCTTGAGGTGGATTCTGTTATCAGCCCATTGGACAGATGAAGAAACTGAGGCACAGATGGGGTTAAACAGCCAGCTCAAAACTAGGCAGAGAGGAAAGCAAGGACGTCCAAAAGCCAGGCCGGGCTGGAGGTAGCAGGCCCAGCCTCCCTGCACAAGCTGGATTAAGAGGCCCCATCCCCTCTCTACCCCTGCTGGACAATGGGTCCCCTTCTGCAGGGACATTCACTTTCTTCATAATCTCTAGAATCTAGATTTAAGAAGCAATCGGTGTGCTATTATTTCTTAAGCACATTGATTTCTTGTCGAGTTAACTGAGATCCTTCTGTCTCTGCTGTCGGGGTCAGCATGCCCCTCCCCCCAGTACCGGTGCCCATGCTTCTGTGCCACTTATTCTGCCCAGATCATCAGACACCCCCTGGGCAGCTGCCTTCATCCTCCACACATGCCCCAGAGTGGGCTTTACAAACTTTTGATTCCGTTCCGGTCCACCAGCATAACCATCGTCAAAATCACCGACAGAAAGTGGCAGGTGGTAGGCAGCTACTTGGGAGGCTGAGGCAGGAGGATCACCTTAGCCCAGGAATTCAAAGTCAACCTGGGCAACACATTAAGATCCAATTTTCAGGGCTCCAGGGATTTGCTCAGTGGCTCAAGCGCTTGCCTGGTAAGCGTGAGGTCACGAGTTTGATCCTTGGTACAAAAGTAAGCAGCACAGCTGCTGTGGGGAAAGTTAAACCTGATCGCAGTGCTCCAGTTTGAGAGTGGCCCTCCGAGATGCCCTGTTACAGCTTTAACCCCTACACCTGGCTGCATCAGGAGGCGGGGCCGGGTGGGAGGGGCCCGGGTCATGGGCGCAGATTCCTCACCGTGGCCCAACCTGTTTCTTGCAGCACTGGATGGGTTACCACCCAGCAGGCTGGGCCTCCTCCGGGCTCCCCTCACCTATTTCTGCCCTGAGCTGATGGAAGTCAAGGTAGGTGCCTGCCGGAAACCAGGCAGCTGTCAGCACTGGGCTCTTAATTTCCTAACCCCAAAACCATGACCCAAACAAACCTCTTTTCTTTGTTAACTAGTTGGTTTTAGATATCCTGTTATAGTGACTCAGTCCTTCCACTCCATGCAGACCCACATGAAGGGAAACTGTACATTCACACGGAAAGTTGTACAGAGATCATTGCTGCATTGTTCATAACAACCGAAGAGCAAAACAACTAAACTGTCCACTCACGGGTGAATGGGTAACAACATGTGGGCCGCCTACCCGGTGGAACATTCCTCAGTCATTAGGACGCGCTCAGTGGTACCCTGACACATGCTACAACATGGGGCAACCTTGAAAACGTGCCAAGTGAAAGCTAGACGCAAGCAGTCAAGTATTATTGACTTATATCTGATGCTTATATCTGACGCTCAGAGTAGGCAAGTCTGATGAGGGGGAAAGCAGATTCGTGGTCAGAAGGAGAGGAGCCGTGGAAGGGTACAGGGTTCACTTTTGAGATGACAGAAGTGGTCTGCGGGGCTGGAGGTTTAGCTGAGCGGCATAAGCGCCTGCCTTGCAAGCAGGCAGTCGTGAGTTCGATCCCCGGTACCGATAAAAAGGAAAAAGACAAAAAAAAAAAAGAAGTGGTCTGTAACTAGGGTTGATGCTTATACAACAGTAGGTGTGTACTAAAAACCAATGAACTGTCCATTTGAAGGTGGTTCCGAGGGTGATTTTATGGTACACGAATTTTATCTCAACTTAAAAGATGTGTCTGGGCATGGTGGCACATATGTCACCCCAGCTCCTTTGGAGGCTAAGGCAGGAAGATCAGAGGTTCATGGGCAACTTGGTGAAACCAGTCTCCAGATAAAATTTCAAAAACAAAACGGCTGGGGGGTAGCATGCTTGCCCAGCATTCCTGAAGGTTCCTTCCCCATTACTGCAAAAATAAAGTGTCCTTCTTCCATAAGGAAATAATCAAATCATCAAATCACACAGTAACTCTGTCACCCTACCTTAATCTCCCCACTATACTAAGAGTCAAAGCCAAACCCTCTCCAGAGCCTGAAGGGCCCTACTGGCCTGGCCCTTAGGCCTCTGCCACCTCCCCTAGTGATCCCCCCATCACCTTCTCCAGCCTCCCCGACCCCATGCCCTAGGGAGCCTTTGCACCCACTGAGCTATCAGCAAATACGTCCTTTCTCCCAACCTAGAGGGCAGGGACCCTGTCTGCCAGATTCCCTGTCCACCCTGTAGGCAAGAAGTGATCTTGGGGAAGGGGTGGATTTATTGAACAACTTCCGGTACAATCTGAAATGCCACCTGCCACCTGGTCAGAAGTGGGGATCACTAAGTCATGTGCCACATGACAGGTGCTCAGGGAGCTCAGGCCCCACCCCAGGCCTGTCCAAAATCCTAAGAAAATCATAGCCTGAAAAGTCTTTTAAAGGTCACAGAGCACCCAGGGTTCACCCAGCAACCTACAAACAAACACAGAAGAGGGAGTTGAGATTGCGTGGCTGACACCCAAGCTGGCAGCCGCACTCCAGGTCAGCCTCATAAAACCGTACCAGCTCTCGGCAACAGCTTCCTAGGACTTTGCAACCTGACCTGTCCTCCAGAGCCCACAATGACGGCGAAACGGTTGCAACTCACACCTGCTCCTGTCCCCTCCCATGGGCAACTTCCTTTCAAGGGCAGGGAAAAGTCTCGAGGGGTGGAGGGTACAGGGTCCACTTTCCAGATGAACCTCTCTGTCCCTTTCCCTCTGGGAGCCTCGCACAGAGCCAGCTACTCACCCACAAGGAGCTTGACGTCCCGAACTGTGAAATCGGGGTCGGGCATCCTGGAGAGAGACAGAAGCACAGACACCGGTGAGCAGCCAGGGACAAGAGGCCGGCTCCTCCCTGGGCCAGGGGAAGCCACTCTTCCCCGCTCTCCACTGGGGAAGCCGAAAGGAGACAACACAGAGGAAAGGCGGGAAGGGGCGCCTTGAGAGGGTCACCCCAGCACCACAGAGCCCCTTCCCCACCCCAAGAGGCAAAAAAAAAAAGCCTAAAAGTCTGCACAGGACAAGACATCGCCATCCATCCCAAGTCCATTGGGAAGGCTGACGTGTGAGGTGGAGGGCCAAACACCTGCTTTCGTTAGCGTTAGGGCGGGCAGCCTCTGTGCGGCCGGTTCTCCCCTAGAAAATACCCTCCACACCAAGGTGCATACGTGGGAGGAACTGCTTTCAGTTCCCAGAGAAAAAAGGACACGCACCCCACAGTTCCATGGATTTGCTAACACTGCCTGCAAAGACCCAGGGAATGGTGTTAATTAACAAAGATGCTGAAGGTTAAATTCCTACTCCTCATCTGTAGCAGAAGTTGGAGAGAAGCAGCCTGGATGACACCATGCTCCTCCCCACTGCCCAACCTCTGTCAAGGGTGGAACCTGTTCTTCCAGCCTGCCTCGGTCTCTTCCCTACCCTGCAAACGCCTGGCACACAAGTCCTCCCCAAGGGCCCACTTCCCACACGGGGTGGCTCTGAAAAAAATGTGTATCCAAACTGGGCATAGTGGCCCACTCCTATAGTCCCAGCTCTCGGGAGGCTGAGGCAGGAGGACTGTTGTGAGTTTGAGACTTGCCTGGGCTACAAAGTGAGCCCAAGACCAGCCTGAACTGCATAGTGAGACCTTGTCTCAAAACAACAAAAAAAAAGAAAGAAAGAAAGAAAGAAAGAAAGGAAAAAAAAAAAAAAAAGAAAATGCATATCCAGGCCCCAGCTCAGGTCCTGCCTCAGTTTCCCAGTGTGAGTTTAGGAGGTGAAGAGAGCTAATCTTCTCAGCAGGAGGTTGCTGCATGAACTCAGGGTCCATGGGGTGCAGGGAATCAGGGAAGCCATCCCTGCTTAAGCACCCTAAATCCTCACTATCCGAATTCCTGCAAAAGACACCCCTTCCTTTGGTCAGGCCCAGACCTGGGAGACGCTATTACCAGATCACGGGAAAAGGTCCCGTGCAGTGACCGGCGGTGGAAAGAGCACAGAAGAAATCCTTGCCAGTCTATCAGCGTGTTAGGGAGGAAGGCAGGAGAAGAAGCATTGAGTTCCAACAACTTACTTAATTCCTAGTCCGTCCTTTTCTCGAAATACCAGGGGTACCCTGAGAGCTTCTCTCTGTACGTACTCATAGTTGAAATCTGTTTGGATATTTGAATTAAAACAAGTTGGTTAAGCAAATGAACCACGATCTACTGGAAGAGAAATGACAAAGGAAGGGGCAGGGGTCTGCTACACACAGACGCTGGCTCCACGGCCAAGAGTTTCCAGGAAAAGGACAGGGCGCAAAGCCCACGAGAGGCCAGGCCCACAGCTGGCTCCTCTGCCTGCTCAGCCATTCTCCGCGTGCCCCACGGGTCCAAACTTGTCAATGAACAGCCCAAGGCCGGCCAGGGTTGGGGAGGAGGCTCAGAAGGAGGCCCATGCTGCAAAGAGCCCAGCTATCACTGGGAGAGAAGGGGGACAGACAGACAAATGCATCGTGGGCTTAGCTCGGAGAGCAAAGGGACCACAGAACTGAAGGACGCCACCTGGCAGGATCTGAAGCCCCAGAGGAGGTTGGGAGGAGCACTCTCGATGCAGCTGAACATCAGTGAAAATCTTATTGTAATATCCTGCATGCAAAAGGGGAGGGGGGAAGCCGGTTTCCCTGGAAACTGTGTATTTGGTGCCAAAATAACTGGGGAACTGGGCACAGCTTTGTTGTCTTCGGAGTGAAATTCTGCTGGGGCATCACAGGACTCACTGGGACTGGATAACCAAGAGGGATGCTCCCCAGGTGGGCTGCACAAAGGGGCACAAGAAAGCCCAAAGAAAAGTCCACAGGGTAGACTTCCGCCCAGGGCTGCCCTGGTGCAGACCCTAAATCCTTCCCCAGATCCCTGGAGAACGCAGGAGGCCCTGGACTAACTGCTGTCCCCAGCCAGTAGATCTGCCCCAATGCTACCTGTGACCAGGGAGGTAAAAGTGGCTGATAGGTCCTCCTGTGCCCCAAACGCTTGAGGGACTAGAGCAACCCTCAAGGACACAAGCCCTCCCTGGCTGGTCAGAAGGGGGAGAGAGGAGTCCCTGGGCTACTGAAGCGTCTGCCCCTGAGAAATGGTTCCCCAGGGCAGCCTTGGGGGAGGAGGTGGCCCAGGCAACTGGCTCAGAAGAGAGAGAACAAAACCAACGCCCCGGGAAAGCCCTGACCTCGGCGGCTCCCATCCCCAGGGGCTCGCGGTGAATGGGGATTCCTAAGGATTTAAAGGAAAGGAAGTTTAAGAAGCTGCTATTTTGAATCCACGCTAAGGGCTTCTTGGGTTTCTCAGCTCCTCCCTTGAGTTTTGGGGCCAGAGCCTTTGAAAGGAACCAGGACAGCAGCTTTAAGGATGCCCTTTAGAACTCTTGCTCTCTGGTAACCTTCCCTAGCTACACCCCAGAGCCAGCCCCCAACTCCCCAGTCCCAGCTTCAGCTTCCTTAAATGACCCTGAAAATTAAAAAAAAAAAAAAAAAAAATCTGAAATCCGCGGCTGAGGATTCCAGACAAATAATTAGGAAGTTTGCATATTATTTTCTCATAGGCTCTGCCAAACAACTTAGAAACATGTAGAGTGGGGGGGGGGGGCTGAAATCCAATTCATGTGGAGGAAATTTAAATGCAGTTGGGATTGGCACCCTGCTCTTGGGCTGGGCAGGCTGAGAAAAATGTCTTCCCTCCCCCCACTCAGGGGAGAATTGCTCCCCCCAACCCACCCGAGCACAGTGCCCCAGGAGGCAACCAGTACAAAAGAGAAACTTCAAAAATGCAAAGCCGGGAAGGTGGCTTGGGGGCTAACCCATGGCCCCAGCCACTCAACCAGAACCTGGAGGAGGGAGGCGCATGCCCAGCTGTCAGCTCACCCTGGAGGAAAGGGCTTTCCGAGGGGGATGGGGAATGCACAAAATGGACACTGAGTAACTGAAACTCCAACATCTGAGGGGAAAGGAAACGACCCCCACACCCCAGGAAGCGACCCCCACACCCCAGGAAGCAAAAGCAGCCAGGAGGGGCAAAAGCATCTCCACAGCTCCAACGGCATCTTCCAGGTTGGGCTCCAGGACCATGCTAAATCCCAGGCTGAGGTCAGGGCTCTGGAAGACACAGACCTAAGCAGGAGCAACACCTCAACATTTGCAGGGCACCCCAGCCACTCTGCTAGTAGAAGAACCAGAGAGAAACCCGGGTCCTGCAGGTGGCTCTCCCAAACTCCTCTCCACTGGCAGAGCCGCGGAGACCCAGGACCTCAGGCCTAGGAGAAATCCCAGATTTCTCAGAGAGGCGTCCCAGAGAGGCGTCCGATCCTTGCCTTCAGACTGTCCGGGGCCAGGTATCTCACCCTTAAGCCCAAGGAAAAGTCACCCCATATCCCCAACTGCCTGCCTCAAGCTGTCAGGGCTGCAGCCAAGAGGCCTCAGGCTTCCGCGGGGTTCCAGGCCAACAACCAACAACGAAGCGCAAGCAACCAGCCAGTCCCTGCTCAACCTGGCGGGGCCCATGAGGCGACTGGGCTCACCAGACCCCAGGCCTGCAAGATGCGTAACCCAATAACCTGACGACCCCGCCATCACCAGTTTCCAACTGGAAGGGCTCGGCAGAACAGGGACTTGAGAGGCTTCAAGCCTGGGGTCCTCAGCCCCGACATCCCAAGGGTATCCTAGGGGCACCCCAACAGCCATCGCTGCCAGGCAGCTGCACTTCAGCCAGCGCAGGGAGCGCGACGGGCTGGGAACGGGGAGGACGCGGCGCTCGCACCCTCCCTCATCGAGTGTCCGTCCCCAGGTCCCCCTGTGTCCGCAGCCCCCAGGTTCTGTCCATCCCGGGGCTGGTGGTGGGTGCAGGCCGGGCCTAGGCCCGTGCACGGTCCCCTTCCCGCCTGCCCTCCTCCCTCGCCACCCCCCTCCCACCCCCCCAGTGCTCGGCCTCTTTCGTCACCGGATCCCCTGGAATGGGGGACGCGGGCGCGAAATACGAACCCAGCCACCGGCAGCTCCCTCCCCACGTGCGCGCGGCCCGCGGCGCGCAGGGCGGCCCGGGGAGGGGGCGCCTCACCTTTGCCCTCCATGGCGTGCACGAAGTCCCCCTGGTACAGCTGGCTGCGCAGCTTCTCCTCCAGGCTGAAGCCGCGGACGCTGACGATCTCCTCCACGTCCGACAAGTCCTCGTTCTCGTCGTATCTCTGGCGGTCAATCGGACGCTGCGGGGACCCAACCAGAGAGCCCGGGACATTACTGAGGGGACTGGGGGTCGCCAGTGACCATGGGCCCGGCACGAACAGGTGCAGGAGCCGCGCCCCCCCCCTGCACCCCACCAGTGCAATCTGAGCAACTTTGCGCAAATGCCAAAGATGCTAAAAAGCAGGACAAGGAGAAGGGGCCCGCGCCCCGAGGGTCCGGCGGCGCCCTACACGAAGCACACCCCTCCTGCGTCTCTGGAAGCCACGGCAGGGGCACCGAGGGGCTCTCCTTGGCCCCCACCCCGGGACGTGCTAAGCTTTGCCCACCCAGCTGGGACCCTGCTTATGTAACCCGCGAAGGGGGCTCCGGGCACCAGCCGGCGGGGCAGATGTAGGCCCCGGGAGCAGCCGCAGCGGCGCCGGGCTCGGCGCTAGCAGCAGCCCCGCCAGCCGCGGCGGCAGAGCCGAGAAGCCGGAACCGGGGGCCAGCGGCATCGCGGAGGCTGGAGCCGCCCCCGAGCCACCGGAGGGGCTGGAAGGCTGAATCGGACGCGCTGAGAGCCCAGCCGCCCCCGCCGCCCGCCCGCCAGTTCACGAGGAGAAGGTGAGGGGAGGAGGTCGGGGCTCGGGAGGGGAGAGGCAGACGGCCCGCCACAAAGCTCCCAGCGGAGACCCCAAAACGCACCAGCAGCTGCCTCATCTCCCCACGAGCGCGCGCGCACACTCACTTCCTAAGGAGACTCCCCCACCACTCCCCGCATCCCCTGCCTCCTCCCTCCGCCGCCCGGCGCCCGGCCCCGCAGCCCCCGGAATCCGGGCGAACCCCGAGCCCGCTCAGCCCCCCTCCACGCCTTTCCGCGCTACCACCTCCCCACTTAAGTGTCTGAGACTCTAAGCCTCACAAGGGACTGGCGGAGTAAGCTGCTTGCTTCCTTTTGCATGCAATTTATTATTTTTTTTCCGGTCCTCTTGCAAAATACAGGAAAAAAAAAAGAAAGAAAAGGCAGCAAGAAACAACCAAAAAAAATAGATCTATCGTATACCAGATACAGATTTGGGAAAAAAAAAAAAAAAAAAGCTACACACCAATCTTCTTCCAGAGTCTTTCTCTGCCTCCATTTTTTTAGGAGAGTTCACCAATTAATTGTCAACACCCCTGCCCCCTGCATTTTGGCGGAGTGGGGGAGGAGGGAAGAGCAAAGAAAACAAACCAAAAAAATAAATAAATACAGCAAGCCAGAGCCGAGATCTACAAAGTTTTGCACCAACACTTAGGCAGATCCGTTTGCAAAGTCCTAGGAAACCATTTTCAGCAGTTGGGGGGGGAGGCGTCGACGTCATAATCCCCGGAACGTAAACATTGTTGCCGATCGCGCTCGGAGCCCGCGGCCGGGCGGGGGGAGGCACTCGGCCCCGGGAAGGGGGCCTGGGGGCGGTGGCCAGAGGAGGTGTGGGGCCGGGAGGGAGCTCGGGAGGCACCGGGCGCCGTTAGCGCCCTGGCATCGCTGTTTTGTTGTCGGGTCACGAGTGCGCCCCTGCACGCAGGCGCCGCCGCCGCCCGGGAGTTGTGTGCAGAGCTGACTTTTGGAGGGCTGAGTTGCCGGCGGCGGGCGCATCCCGGCGATGGCGGGGCAGCAGGGAGAGGAGGAGGAGGGGGTGGGGAGGGAGGTGCAGATTTGCACGGCTGGCCTCAGCGGGAGGCGCGGAAATGCAAGCCGAGCTCGCTGGCGAGAAAGCCCTCGGGGCCTGGCACCCCCCAAAACGACCCCCCACCTCAGCCCGTGCCCCTTTATCCAACGGCTCTTCTTTTTCCATGCACTCGCTGACCTGCGTTGGCGACCCAAATACAAAGCCTTTTGCTATATAATATTTTTTTTCTTTTCTACTTGGTGTCTTTTGGAGGGGGAGGGGCGAGCCTGTCCAGATCCCTATTTGCGAAGCTGCCATCTGGAAGGGGCATTCGAGGGGCCAGAAGCAAATTAGCGCAGCTCCATATCTGGATGGGCTGCATAACTTTTAAGCTCCCTGAACTAAAAGATAATTGGGACACACGCACACACAGGTACAGGAAATACGGCCAGACCAAAGCTTTTTTTCAGACCGCAGCTGACCGGAAGCCGCTGCCCCTCCATTCATTCATTCTGCTCGCCTCGGTGGAGTCCTTTAACAGGCAACAAACCCTGAAGCACAAGTTGGACTTTTGTAAAGATCTGCGTTCTTCGGGAGGAAGAAGTTGATGTTCTGGAAGAAAATACCCACAGAATGTACCCGGCGTCTCCTAACGCAGCTGCCAGCCAGCCAAAGGTAAGCCCTTTGGACTCTGTATAGTCGGACGAGGGGGTGAAGTTTTCCGGGAGGGGACTAGAAACTTTGGGTGCACCTTGATTTGATCTTGTACAGCTTGTTAATGGAGGTATAGGCACCCTTCCTGCGCATATGGCATGTCACCAACGGCCAATGCTTCCCTGCCCTGCCATCCCGGCCTGTGCACCAGTCGGGTCCACCTCACTTCTAAGAAAAGCTGACCCTGAATTTCCTCTAGCCCAACTCCTGTGCCGTGCAAGGCCCGACATTTTAGGAGCAAAGCTCTTTTTTTTTTTTTTTTTTTAATGTCTTTTTCCTTATCGGTACCAGGGAGCGAACTCCCAACTTCTGCTTGCAAGACAGGCGCTTATGCCGCTGAGCTAAATCCCCAGCCCCGAGCAAAGCTCTTGATAAAATGACACAGCCTGCCAGGTGAGGTGGTGTGCCTGAAATCCCAGCACATGGGAGGCTGAGGCAGGAGGATCTTTGCAAGTTCGAGATCAGCCTGGGTTACTAAGTAAGCTCAAGGCCAACCTGAACTGCATATCCAGACCTTGCCTCAAAAAGACAAAAAAACATAAAATAAAGATGACACGGCATAAGGGCCACAATAAGATCATCATACATTCAGGGCCGGGGATTTAGCAAAGTGATTCAAGGGCTTACCTGTTAAGTGTGAGTTTGTGAGTGCGATCCCCAATACCAAAAAAAAAAAAAAAAAAAAATTGGTCCACATAGGCAGGGTTAGCATGGTTTTTGCAGTATTGGGGACTGAATTGAGGGAATATGGATTCACCCTAGCTTTTTTTTCCTTTTTTTTTTTTTTTTTTTTTTTTGTATTTTTACCGGTACCGGGGATTGAACACAACCACAGGCTTGCAAGGCAGGCACTTATGCCACTGAGCTAAATCTCCAGCCCCTCTTTTTTTTTTTTTTTTTTTAAGATTGGGATCTTACCCCAACCATTCTAAAAAAACATTTGGGGCGCCAGGGATTTAGCTTAGTGGCATAAGTGCCTGCCTTGCAAGCACAGGTCACCAGTTTGATCCCTGGTATCAAAAAAAAAAAAAAGTTTTGGGTTTTGTTTTTCTTTTTGTTTTGGTGTGATACTGGGAATTTAATGCAGGGCCTTTGCCCTGAGAAACATCCTCAGCTTTTTTTTTTTTTTTTTTTTAAATAGAGCCTCACTAAATTACCCAGACTGAGCTTGAATTTGCAGTCCTCCTGCCTCAGCTTCCCAGACTCCTGGGGTTTCAACCATGCATCAATACACTGGGCCTGTCCTCAAATAACGTTAATCCTCCTGCTTTAGCTTCCCAAGTAGCAGGGATTACAAGTGCCTGCCACCTCACCCAATCTAGCATGGCATTTTATTTTTGCTGTTAGCCCTGTGGGCTAGTTGGAGGGGGTCACACTGCAGATTGGGAGACTGAGGTCCTGAGAAGTCAAGCATCTGTGTGTTTATTCTGTCTTGTCCCTTCTATGTGAGCAACCAGACAGATGTGGGGAGGAAGTGGCTTCACTGACCCAGATCAGATGTAAACCATATATGTCACCCATAAGAGATGACGTCACCTTTGCTCACCTTAAAATTTCCCTTCATATCACCTGTGATCTTTTCCCCTCTTCCGGAAGGCGACTTTTTGAAGTTTGTTTTAATCCATGTTCACAGGCTGTAAAAACCTTAAGTAAAAATGAAGCTGACAGACACCAAGATTTGTCTCCGAAGTCACCTACGCTGACCTCGCTGTGGCCAGAGCAGCCCTTAGCGCCGGCAAGGACCCCTTCAGAGAACCCCATCCTGTTGCTCCCTTTTGCAAGCCAGGAAACTGGGACTGAAAAGACAGAGCCACTAGCTCACCCCAGGTCACACAGCTTTGCAAGTGGGGCTGCTGCCCGGCCTCACCACTGTCCCTACTCCCACAGAATGAAGTGAACTGCTCAAGGAGGATCCTGGGCTGCGGGGTGGGAAAAAGCAAGTGAAGCTGAATAAAGCAAAACTGGGAAATGCAGTGCTTGGTCTTCATCTGCTCACAACCCCCGTGGAGCTTCTGGGTCCCCCCAGAAGCTGGCGGTCTTGGCAAGAGTTCTAGCAGCAGCCACCTGAGTGTGAAAACAGGCCCATATATCACCTCGATGGGGAGTTCCTGGCTGTCAGAGCAGGAAGGCTTGACTAGGCACCTAATTTAATCCCCGCCCTTTACAAACCTCCAGGAAACTGCAAACCTGAGAAAAAGAATGGGCCGGCCAGGGTTTGTTCCCCCTTTGACTCCCCTAGAATGCCTAACCCTGCCTCCACTCTAAGTGGTCACTCAATAAACGTTGGGCTCTTGATGGATCACCTTCCCTAGCATATTTGCATTTTCCCTTTATCAGTAATTGGCAGATGAAAGGCTTTGTGCTCCCGGTTAAAAGAATTCCAAGCATTCGTGCAAAGTGGGGGAGGGGGTTATTTTGGGCCAAAGGAAGAAGGGCCCAGACCCTTGAGCTCCTGCTCAACTGCGTGTCCCAGGGAGCTGGGAGCAGCCAGAGGCTGAAGGTGCTTATGCACCAGATGAACTCCTTATTTATTCATGTATTTATTTATCTTGTGGTAGGAAAACACCAGGCCAGTTGTTTGGGAAACAAAATAATGACGACTTCCTGGACCTTCCCTGCCTGCGTGCCCCCATCCGTCCACCGCATTGCTCTTCCCTCAAAGGCTGGCTGAGCAGCTCTGCTCCTGAAGACGGAGAAGGGACCTGAGAGGACACAGCTCAGCTGATGCTGACGCTCCTGCTCTGGGCTCGGCCTGGAGATAGAACAAGGGCCCCGAGCCCTGAGACCCAGAACCCGAGAGGGGTTCTGTAAAGAAAGCCAAACTTGCTCCTAATTCTAATTAATAGCTCCTGACTTACAAAACCTCGCTTTTTAGCAAGGTGCCCCTCACATTTGTTATCGCTCTGAATTGTTGCCAAAAGCTCTATGTGGAAAGGATTTTAATTCCCCACTTTTAAAGCTTAGGCTTAAAGAGCGATCAAGTTACTGGGACAAATTTTACAGCTATGAAATAACTGAAGTAGGATTTGAACCCAGAACTTGTAGGAGACCACAGCTCACAGGGTTGAGCGCTATTTAAGCTTCCCTGCAGGGCTGTGCCATAGAGCGTAATGGAAGTCATGTGTCTCTCCACTAACTCAGGCCCCTCTGCCCACATCCTGGCTGTGGAGCACTTGAAATGTGGGTACTGGGATTAAAGATCTTTACGTTACTGTGCTGGGGCTTGAACCCAGCATGCACTCTGCCATTGAACTTACCTCCAGTGCGAATTTTAATAAAAATTAAACAGTGTAACCCCAGAGTGTTTTGCACTGTTTGTCTTAATGCTGCCTATACCTCAAGGTCTGAATTGGCCTTGGGTCCCCCATTATCGTCCTCTCCAAAACATTTATGGAATGAATGAAGGGTCCCTCTGGGAAGGGGCCATCTGGTAGGGTGTGAATGCTTGCAGTGTTAGTCTAACTGACTGGCTCAGGGTGCCTGCCAGAATCGTGGCACCAGGAGGGAGCCTGGGGATGCCAGCTGGGTATGTGATTGGCCCACCTGCCCGAATCTCACACAGAAACTTTTCAAGGACAGATAATGGGTTTTAGGCAGGGGTCGTGTGCATAGACTCAATTATTGTGATGCAGTCAAACTAGAGAACAGTCTTAAAAATCGAGAAATTAAGTCACTTATGCAGGTGCTGATGAAACTATTCTGAATTATTACAAAGGATAAGATAGGGTTGGGAGGTAGCTGAGTGGCAGAATACTTGCCTGACATGCAGGGACTCTGTTCAGTCCCTAACACCACAAAAGCTAAGTAGGTGACTACATACGTTGGTGCACAGTCATTGCACGGTATCCTTAAAACAGTGCAAAATAGTAAATTGGGAGTGATTACCTGCATAAAGCAAGGGTTTGCCTGGCATGCATGAGGTCCCAGATTCCCAGCCCCACAAAGAAGCATTACATTTCATTTAATTTTTAAGCCTATAAGACTTTCAAATTTATCAGCTACTTCAAGCATAAAAGGGGCAGAAGCAGGGTGCCTACCACGTGCAGGCCCAGGCTTTAATCCTCACACTGCCAAAAAATGAATAAATGAGGCACAGAAAGTAAATGCAAGACAGAGTTGTGCATCTAGCACCCAGCACTTTCTCCATATTTTGTATGTGATATTTAAAATATATTTTTATTATTTTAATGAGAGGGGAACAGACCATGCTATTTCTGGTAAAGTGGTTGTTCTCAAATACTTTTTTTTTTTTTTAACCCCTGAGTGTCTTGCAGACTGAAATTAAAAAGGCAGAAGAAATTCTACATAGACTGTCAGGCTGTGGCTGTTTTGGGAAGACTTAATTTTCCAGCTAAAATTTTGCATTTCATGTCTCTCTTCCTGTGTGAGAGTTGGAAAGAAACTTCGAAATAGTAGGTCAGTTAATTGAAGGGTTAATGCCAGGAAGAGTCATAAAAGTTCAAAGATTCTTTAAAAACTTGCATCTTTGGATTGATGGACAAGGGGTTAGCCAATAGAAATGAAAGGCCAGACATTACTTCATCATGCTCAATTGTCATTGGTTGACAAGTCCCTAGGGACAGACAAGAAGGCTGGCGGTTAACCCTTTCAGGGAGGACTGCGTCCTCTGCATTTATTTTGAAAGATGAAGTAGGGTCGGACGAAATGTCCTGAAATCTTCAAATGTCCCCTACCTTTGGGTCTAATAACCCCATAATACAGGATTCTAGCAAACAAAGGAATACTCAAGGACAAATGTCCTGGAGAAAAGTTTTCGAACTCTTTAAAAGTCAGCTGACCTTTCAGAGTAGGAGGAGAGTAGTTTGATTCACTTTTTGCTGTCAGAACAGAGACCTGTGTTGGAGAGGCGTCCATTAATCTTGCGAAGTAATCAGTCACTGAGAAGATTGAATTGCATTTCCTGCCCAAAGATGCAGAGACAGATGACCTTTTCTGCAGCCCTCAGACCCCCGGCTCACAGCTGGAGAGAGGATGTGTCAGCATTTACTTTCTGTCTCACCCTGCCCTTTGTTCATGGCTCCAGCCCTTTGTGTTCCGCCTGCTGCTGGAGTTTTTGTAGCTGTTGATGCTGCTGATTTTTTTTTTTTTTTTAACCACCCACATCTTGCACCTTCTGAGAAACAAACTTTGGCAGAGATCATATCTGGAGGTGCCTCAAAGAGGGAACCAGAAGAGACACGGGAAATTTCTCGAGGCCACTGGGCCTGCTGGATTTAACTGTTGTCCCTTTCTGGGGTTCCCTGCATGCTGCACACTGAGCCAGATGGAGCCAGAAGTTGAGCAACCTGAATAATGATGGCCATGCCTGGCCATGTCTGGATGGCTCGGACAGCAAAGCCATGCAGTACGCATTACTGCAAAAAAGTCATCGCTGAAGTGGAAGCGTTTCCTCCCAAAATTTCCATCCTGAGTCCCCAGAGTCCGGTGGGCAGTACCTGACCTGGGAGGAAGCACTCGGGCTCCCTCAGTTTTTTCATCTGTGAAATGAGCCTCGCAGTGGGAAACACATTCAGATTACATGGTGATCGTACTCGGTCAGCCTTGTGTCTTGACTCAGATGAAGTTGATCTTCTTGGCTCTGTAACCCTAAAGCTGGCTTCACCCAGGGACTTAGCTAGCATCCTAAGCCCTGTCTCCTGGGTCTGAGCAGGCTGCCCAGGTACCGCACTGATCTTTGTCTAAACCTCCGGGGTCCATGCAGACCCCTGTCCTAGCACCATCCTGCCACACTGCCTCCCTTCAATGCTGTCACTTTGGGAACCTGGTTAGGCGTCTCCTCCTTGCCCCCACCTAATGCTGCACAGCCCTCTAGGACCCATGGATACCTGCGTTCAAGCCTGCTCAGGCCCTTACATAAAACAGCACTGTGTATCGGCTTTAGCTCAGCAGCACAAGTGCCTCCCTGCCAAGCGCCAGGTCTTAAATTCAATCTCTGGTACCAAAAAGATAAATAAAAAATAAATAAAACAGTACTGTGTGTGCATAGGACCTACTCAGCTCTTTTCAACCTCCTGTTTTGTTTTGTTTTGGTACCAGAAGTCAAACTCAGGACTTTGCGCCTGCCAGGCAGGCACTTGTGCTGCTGAGCTACATCCCAGGCCCAGCTTCTTGTGTTCTTTACATTCTCTCTTTACTGGGCAGTGTCGCACTCAGACAATTCAGAAAGCTGTCCCAAGATAAAAAGGCAGGTGGGGTGGGTGTCGCTCAACGTTGGAGCACCCCTGGGTTTGGTCTCCAGTGTGGGATGAAATTCATTAGTACTTATCCACAAAGCCAGTGCAACTGTGATTCATACCCAGAGCAGCCTTTAAGGGAAGCCCTTCTTGGGGCCAGGGATGTAGCTCAGTGGCATAAACTCCTGCCTGGCAATTGCAAGGTCCTGAGTTCGATCCTTGATACCAAAAAAAAAAAAAAAAAAGGGGGGGTGGGGGGACGCCCGGCTGTTTACTACAAAGCATCTGTGCCCTGTGCCCATCTGTGCCCATCTGTGCCCTGTGCCTGGCAGAGTGTAAGGCTTCCACTGGGGCCAATGGGAGTTCTGGGGTGACAACACTTCATTCAGATACTTTTCCCCACCCTAAAGAGGCGTATCTGAAGGGGCCTTTGCAAATTAAGAGTTTGAGAGTTTTTGCTGTTTCTTCTCCTTCACCCTAAATTTCTTGGAAACTGGGCCTGGGGGTGCATGCCTGAAATCCCAGCACTCAGGGGGATGAAGCAGAAGGATCCCCACAAGTTAGAGGCCAGCCTCAACTACATAGTGAGTCTCTGTTTCAAAACTAAAACTGGGGATTTAGCTCAGTGGCATAAGTGCCTGCCTTGCAAACACAGTCATGAGTTGAATTCCCAGTACCAAAAAAGCAAAGACCCCCCAAAAAAACTAAAAAATAAATTAATTAATAAATTTCTTCTTGGGACTACTTAGTGATTTTAAGAGAAAGCTGGTGCTAACTGT